GGAGAGTTTAACATTAAAAAGGAAATATTTTCTGTGTGAGATAATGATGGGAAGTGGATATGTTCCCTCAATTCTTCTAATCCTACTTTATTCCACAGAGACTTTCTTTTGAGGGAGGTATTGTAAGAGTAAATAAATTATGCTAGATGTTATCAAGAACCTTGTCTGAATGCCAGGTTTGCAGGAGGTATGCAAAAAATCCACTTCATTGCATGAAATCCATACAACCATATAGAACACACTCAGTTTCCTGAAGGGAGGGGAAAATTCCCCTTTTCTGGTTTTGTGTGAATGGACTGCTTTATATGCAACAGACACCGCCCTCAGCCTATCATGAAGGTTTTACAGTGCTATGTTCATCATACTAAATAGGCCTGGCCAGTTTAATCTTAATCTGTTTAAACATCTGTCATAAATTCAAATGATTTTTCTAAAAGAAAGAAAATCAATAGAAAAAATCACCTATATTGATGTGACTGGTAGTTTTTTTTACCCTTTGTGTGGTTTTTAAATATTCATGGAATTTTTTTAAAGTATCTACATTTTTAAAATAGACAGTATCTCATCTCTTGGGGGGGGGGGCAGGTATCACAATTAAAAGAGAAACCCAGTGATTACAGCAGTATTTATTTTGAAATAATGATGGCAATGGGGTATCCATGGATTTCTTTAAAAAAATAGTTTTAGCTTACAGAAGCTGCTGTTAATTTTGCCAGCAGAGTTGCAGGTGAAATAATGCACATTGGATAAATAGTCTGTATTGGTTTAACTGAACATAATATATAGTGTGTTCTGGAGTTGTTTGTCTCAATAGACTATAGTAATCAAAAGTAATGAACCTATTATGTGCAGGACCTTGGAGAGCATGGAATGGCAGTAAAAGTGTGGCACATAAAAGGTTTATTAAAGGAAATTAAAGTCCATCATTGCCACACCTGCTCCCCTATTATAAGTCTATGGCAGGTCAGTGCCTTCAATCACTACTCAGCATCAGAGAATACAGCCACGTTTCCCATTACCATTGCAGTCACATTGCAACCAAACCCGTCTAGGGTTTGAATGGCAGCAAACAAACATAGGGAAGTTTTAATTTCTTCTTGATCAAACACCATCTATTAAAGTGGCTGTGTTGAGAGCTATCCACCAAGCAGATAAAAAAATGAGATCTTCTACTGATATATTCAGTATTGATCTTTATCTATCTGTCCATCTATCTGCCCTAGTTTTGGTTGTACATGATAAACCCAGAATAAAGCATTTACACATCAGTTTCAAATATCTGTTCAACTATCTGACTCCTTGTTTATTCCTATAAAGAGCTATTTAGGTCATATGTCATGTACCATATGCTCAGTGTCTCATATAGCCCTCTGTAATCATTAGCTGGGAAAAATAGAGAGGCTCACAAATGTTGCTTCATCTTTTCAGTTGGTTAACTTTTCTTCATAGTCTTGAAAAAGGAAGCATTTCTCTCCTTTGTGTGGACCTTGAAATAGTTTAGCATACATATTCCAGTATATGATTGAAAAACTATACAGTTTAAAAGCATTTCAGTGAAGAAAAGGTTATGGGAGCAAGCTCTCTAAATCCATCCATATTTAGAATCTTAGAAGCCACATTTTTAAACTTTGTTTGTATATCAGGGATTGACTATCCCTCTATCCAAGTAGACAGGATTCACAGAAACTGTCATATAAATACATGAGGCATCTAAAGAAACTATACACTTAGTTCAAATAATGGATCCAGATCCTTTTGATTTAGATAAATTTGAACTCACAGAGATGGTTTTTGAGTCTACCATTTTACATAGCAGTGTTATTCCCAAGCAATTGTGTAATCTGGACTTTCTTTTTTTTTCAGTACTTGTATATATTATTTTCATATTATTCACATGATGTATTTATTCATTAGAAGTTAAAACTTGTTACTTGTTCCCTACTTCACAGAGATATGCAAAACTTCAGAAGCACTACCAAATTGGGCTTAGGGCCCTTCCACAAAGCCAAATTATCCAGAATATCAAGGCAAAAAATCCCACATTTTCTGCTTTGAACTGGGATATCTGGCAGTGTGGACTCAGGTAACCCAGTTCAAAGCAGATATTGTGGGATTTTCTGCCTTGATATTCTGGGATATAGGGCTGTGTGGAAGGGCCCTTAATCATTGAAAGAAGACAATTCCCACAAATGCCTCTGGGCCCTTCCGGACAGGACCTATATCCAAGGACATGATCCCAGGTTTTCTGCTTTCACCTGGATTATATGAGTCTGCACTGCCAGATAATCTGGAATAACCTGGGACCAGATCCTGGGATATAGGGCCTGGATCCTTTCTGTCACAAATACCTTTGTTTTCTCTGTAGTTCTTCTCAAAATGGTACCAGAAGGGAAAAGGTATTATGTCTTGACATTTATTTGTGAGAAACTGCAAAAGCATGGCATAGGGGTAACCTGAAAAGGTTTGTTTCTGTAAAATTATATAGTAATATAAAGCAGCCACAGGTGGATTTGGCAACGGTTTGGCAAACTGAATTTAGTGGTAAGAAATGTATTTCCCTTTCCAAGATGGCATCAATTAGATATATGTGTGGATATATTATTGCCAAACATTTAAAACTATTAGTTGGTTCTAAGTGAAACATCTCATAGAACTTCTGCAAAAACATTATTTTCAGCAGGGGAAATGGTGAAGAGTTTTTGTTACCTTTGGAATACTCTGAGCATCCTCTTTCACCTCCGCTCAAAATGCACAGGAAATAAACAAGAGACTCATGCTGTAAAATGTAAACCCTCTAGTAGTTCTTGATTTGTTTTACTTTGTCTTAATTTCCTGTTCCCTTGTGCGATAATGGCTCATGGCTCATGTTGCAGGGCCTTACTTAATCCACAAATCAAAATATGTAATTTACATTTACTTGAGATATTTTCTGCAAAACTAGTTTCACTTCACCACTTCAAGTCTCAGCCCTTTTATATTTTTAAGAGATTTTAATTAGATCTCTAGGCCAAAAGCTGCCACTACATTTTGTTTTTGGGTTTTTTTCTTGATTCAAATCCAAGACCAGAAGCTCTTGTATTTTTACAGCTCTTCCTTGGATACAAAATAAAAATAATCATGATGTAATTTAAGCACATCTGCTCCCCTTAAAGTTTGCCACTTTTCTCACTGAAATCTCATGAGAAAAAATCTGCTATCTTTAGCTTAATTGTATACTTTGCCACATTCCGCATAAACTATTGTATTGCTTCAAAGTTAGCAAGATAGTCCTAAATTTACCTAATAATATGGGTTCCTTGTGGTAAGTTAAGCAGCACATAGTCTGATCTAATACTTTGTATTTCAGTTCTAGTCACCTCCTCAAAATTTAACATGGTCTACTCATTCATTTCTGGGCACAATTCAAAGTGCTGGCTATGATCTATAAAGCCCCATATGGATTAGATCCGAACTATTTGAAGTGTTTTTCTAAATGAAATTGTTCAAGTCTTGAGATTTTGGGGAAGAGCTTTCTCTTGGTTCTACTACCTTCACAGTTCAATCTGGTGAGGTATGGGAGAAAGCCTTTTTGGTACTCACGGTCTCTTAAATTCCCTTTCATGGCAGGTTAGTCTGGTCGCTTCTTTGCTCTCCTTTTGCCAGTAGGCAAAGACTTCCTATTCAAAGAGGCATGTAATAATTAAGTGGTCATAAAGAGCAAGTTTTATTGGTATATATGTGCTGTATTTCTAATGTTATTCTTATGTTGTAATTTATTCCCTTTTCTTTAAAAACTGTAATAGAATTACCATTTGATAATTTGTTCTAACTTCTTAATAATCGGGGGGGGGGGGTGCCTTTTCTTGTTTTAGCATTTGTAAGCTACTTTGAGTTTAAAGCAAGAAAAAAGGCAGGAAATATGTAAATAATTATTCAATTATTATATATTGTGCCTACTGTATCCACAGATTTTGCACCCACATATTTAAGCATTCACAGCTTGAAAATATTTCACCCTAAATGAAATCCAAAAAGCAAATCTTAGTTTTGCTATTTTATATAAGGAACACCATTTTACCATGCCATGGGACTAAAGCATCCACAGATCTTGGTATCCATAGGGGGTCCTAGAACCAAGAACCAATAGATATCAAAGGTCCACTGTAATGCTGACTTGCTTATTTCTGATGTTTAGATGATGACTAAACTATCTTTTTGAAAGTGTATTAATGAGATTGCTCTGGGATTTAGGGCTTCAATGGAGCAGCCTCTATTCTTTGTATCTTGTGCTCTTGTCCACTTTAGGATATTGCTGTCTACTTTGCTCTTGTCTGCTTTGATGAATTTTGGGTTAGCTGATTGTGTGTAGTTTTTATTCCAGGTATGTTTGGTTTCATGAAGACAGAGAAAGAGAGAGAACGAGAGAGGGAGGGAGGCTGGAATGAGTACAGTATGAAGAAAATGATGCTTCTGCCTCTTCACTTTGTGCTTCCTTGCAACAACTTTATGCTTTCACCATTTTAAAATTGATATTTTTATTGTTCTATCTGAATGTGCATTTATACATGATTTGTTATTTTCTTATTTATAAACACGTAACAAAAGCACATAAAAACTCGTGGGGCAGAATTTATAGAGTCCACTTTGCCTGTCATTTCCACATGGCTTTGTTTTGGGCATTCCTAAAAAAACTGTTGTGGTTGTGACAGGTTGATGCAATGGTTTGTATTGCACCTGGTGTATCACACCACCTATCACTGCAGACCATTGCCCTGTTGGTTGGTTATCCAGCTAGCACCACTAAGATGGGTCAGATTTCTGCCTGCCTTTTATAGATATATTCTGAAAGAATAATTAATAATGAATAAACTTAATACAATATTTTTACCATTCTGAATTATGTTTAAAGGCTGCTTAGAGATGGGCAGAAACAAGATCAATTGGTTATTAGAACAATTCTCCTACTGTCACCTTGAATATCCAATAGTGTTAGCTGAAAAGATTGTCTCTTACTTTTTTAGATGGATGCAGATGGAGAAGATAAAAAGCTACGCACACATTCAGGAGAAACCAAGGGTGAGTTGGAAGATCCCCTTCTATGACCCTGTGCCCATCTTAGCATGAAATGTAATGATTTCTGCACACAGTCCCAAATGTGTCGTCAATGAGTCCATGTCTTCCTTAGGGCTCATTTTAATCAGGACACAAACTGCAGACATTAGGAGGTGAAAAGTTGTTAGATGTGGGGGGAGTGCAAACAAGAACAAAATGTCACAAATATATGACACAGATAATGTGAAAATCCAACTGATGCTGTCATATACTTTGACAGAGAACAACTTTGACCATGAAAAGGTTGTATAATATTGTACCCTGCCCAGAATGGTAATGATCCCCTAAAATATTTTATATAATATTTTAATGTGTTCTGCCTCTGATAAATTAATTCTACTATAAGCATTTTTTCAAATATGTTTAATAATCAGATCTGCTTCTATCTAAAAACACTAACATTTTGAGCAATTTTGAATTTATATTTTTAAATGTAGGATAAAAAGTTAAAACTTTCGGTGGGGGGGTTCTCCATGGATAAAGAACAGATGGCGATGTAATATTGAGATTAAAAGGCCCCTTAATGATCTAAACATCTGGAAAACATGATTGACTAGTAATGCAACCCCTTAAGGAAAATAAGTTTTTATTATAATGGATAATGTTTTCTGTGACCCTTGATTGTGAGTGGGAAATTGACATATGTAAAATAAAATAAACTGGGATATTTTACCTTCATCTGAAGCAGATTGGAGTTACAAAGTCTGCAGCAGAACCTAAATAACTAAATGCAATGCTGATCTATTCTGTCCTTACTAGTCAATATGATGATATGTTCACACTCCACACTATATAAAGGATCTGTTTATTGATTCTTTGTATGAATGCTGCACAGAGAATATATATGTATACTTGCAAGATAGAACACAAAATATATTTCCTGAACAATTAATATGATAAACAGAATCAAGGATAACTTTTGGGTGATGCCCTAAGATCTGAGTGATACATTCTAATTTATAACTGGAAGACACCCACTTCTTTTGAGATACAATCACATCTACAAAACCTGCTTCAATCTCATATCCAGAGCTCAGATTACATTTTTGGACTTATTCATTATTAATTAACTTCCAGCTTTCCCACATAGAGAATGTACACAGATAGGGGGATTCTATATATTCTATATTTTCTCAAGTAGCAATCAAACAAAGGAGTAACTATGTTTCTTTTCATGCCAGCAATAATGAAACTGGTCCCTGGTTGTCTAGTCATACACTGGTATAGTATGACTCCTGTATCTACGTGATTGGTATCCATGGTTTTATTTATCCATATCCGACAAAATAAGTCATATGTGGGCCTTTTTAAGGCTCTCTAGTATGACTGTGGTATTCTTGGACCAGAAGTCCTTCATTTCAATAGGGTTCACTGTTAATCATGGTTTGCATATTCCCATGAAGTCTGGGAATGTATACTCCATGGGATTGCACTATAATAGTGGAAGTGAAATTCAAGGGTTTATGAGTTTTCAGATCAAATCCTCATTTTCTGTGAAGGTTCAAAAAAGTGAACAGCAGCCTGTTCACCCATTTCTCATTTGGAAATACTTCTCAAAGTGATTTGAAATAGGAGTGGTATGAACATGGTTTACATTGATGTGTTCTCTCAATATCAACCATATGAGATGCTTCTTTCCTTCCTTTATAATGTTCTGAGGTTGGTTTTTTTAAAAAAAGATTTTTCAAGATTTCACTGCTTTAAAAATGTAGAGCCACTTTACTTATTCCAGCACCCCTTGACTTACATCTTATAAGTCCCAGTTTAGCATTCAAGCCACAATATGAAATGATTCCGGTTCAGGGACTGAACATTATTTTCCACAACTCATGGTTGTGGAAAATAATGTTCAATTCCTGAACCAGAATCATATCATATTGTGGCTTGAATGCTAAACTGGGACTTTTAAGATGTAAGTCAAGGCCAAACTAAGCCATTGGATGATCTTAGGCCAACAACTTCCTCTCAGCCATAATTCTCGAAAGGATAAAATGGGGGACTTCAGGGGAGCCATTCAAAACTCCTTGAACTCATTGGAGGAAAACCAGAGCATGATTGTAGCAAAAAAGGAAATAAATATTTCAGTCTGTGTAATAGCCGTCACAAAAACAATTGTCATGCACTCTATATGGATGAATTGCTATGTGTTTTGTCTGCTGGTATGGGGATTTTTTGACCTATGAAGTGCCATTACACAAAATTCTTTAGGCAAAGGAGGTACACAGCAGCTATAGTTACTCAGACAAGCAGCTTTTCACAACAAGCTACTAACTTATGAATGTCAGTGTTGCTTAAAACACAAAAGAAGGAAGAGATATGTCTTGATATGGGAGAAGAAAGCTTTTCTTCCTACTTTTGAAGAGCCATGCACAATTTGAAAATGCAATCTACCCTAGCCGCATTTATTCCCATATTTGTAGAAATGGTCTTACTGAAGAACAGAAGGATCAGATTGAATGAGAGAACAGCTCTCCATCTCCTGCCTACCATTGAGGCATAGGGTGAATGAAGGGTGAGAAACATGTTGATCCAGGGGCATATGAAGTCTTCAGCTTGAATTCCAAAGTAATCTTCAAACCCGTCGTCTCCACCCAAGTCATCTGCAAACTATCAGTTGACATCCTTGACAAGCACAATGTTCCTGTTGTGAAACAACCAGGTGGGCATTGAGAAAGGAAGAAGGATGAAGAGAGGAGAGATAGGCATGCAAAACTCAGAAGTGTGGTGAAAAAGTGGTGGAAGAAGAGAGAGAAACATTTTAGCTCCATGCATCCTTACCGCTAGACCCTCCTACTAACTTTGCTCTGTTGCTGATGACATTTGGTTCTGACATTTTAACTTGGGACACTTTACATATGCCATTTTGACTTCTGACATATAACCCCAAAGAATGCAACCTCAAAAATCCCCCTTTTAATCAGCTGTTAGAAAGAAAATGGGTGCTGGTATTTTAAATGCATACAAAATAAATCCCAGGAATTTTGTAAAGAGACATTTCCCCTCACCCCACAAAAAGAAATTATGAAATCCCATAATCTTTGTGATAAAATGAGCCTGAAATGGTGGGAGCAATCTAATCAAATGATGTCGTAGGACAAACCACTTAAATTACTCTCTATGTATTTATGTCAATGTTTATTTTAAGAGCTTATGTTGCCCTCATAGATGTGAGTGGCAGCATTTCCATACAGTTCAGTGAGATCAGGATCAATCCCCAAATGATGTGAGTAATTGCAACAGCATAATGAAGTTACTGCTGCATATCTGAACATTGTTGCGAGCTTCCATTAGATGGAGTCTGTGGGGAGCTACCGACTAAACTGGCTGGGTTTCATTTAGCAGTTTCTAATCAGAGTTAATGTACTGCCATACTTTCTTTAAACATTTAAAAGGTGATCTCTCTCATTTAGCCAGCTAGTTAAACATATTTAGGGGCTTAAAATGCTTCTCTCTGACACACACACAGGCTTAATAGAGCAACAGCATTTTCCCAGAAGTGGGACAACGGATGTGGCCTGTGCAACATGAGTAATCTTTAGAACCACCTGTTGACTTTTTCAATATGTTTGCTAGCCTTATGGGGGCAGGTATTTGTAAACACCAGCTTTCCTCATTCCCAAATCAAATAATCAATGCAGAAAAATAAAACTTTCTCATGGTGCAGCTTTTATAACTGTTTTTTTTAAAGAAATGGTACAATGCTGATTTTTCTCCAGTGAACAACAGCAGCCTCACTGTGTTCAGAGATCTTGCCTTTGTTTTAAAGTAATCACACAAATTGCACATTAGTCTGGCAATTGCCACTAACAGCAATAATCCTCCAGTTAGAAGGAAATAAAGTCTCACTGGTGTTTTTTAAATCTCTCTCCTATCATTAAAAATAGGCAGGTGCACATAACTATATATCTGTAAACTGATTTAATTTTCCCTTTCTCTTTCTATCTTTTTTTAACAGCACACGTGGATTCGATAGCACAAGAGCTCAGGTAAAGATTCTAGACATTTCAGTTCCAGCTTTCTTGCATGGGATAATATCAGGCATTTATTTTTGTATCACTAATATAAGAACCACTACAAATAATACAAGTTTTTGTTCACAGCACTCACACATTTTGTTTAAAGAAGTATTTGGGGATGAAAGGTCTTGAAAGGCCTCTAAACCATTACAGCTTACCAGGGACCCCATGTAAAAGAAAATGTTCATTAGGTAGTGCTCTTTGTTTCTAAAAAATGTATTTCCTTTGAGTTCTTTGCCCTGATTTTCTGCATGTGTGTTTTGAACAAGAGCTATTTTATGGCCTTTTTTCCATCACAGCTTGTGTTCTGTCATCTCAACCAGTTATATATGTGAAAAGCTACATACACACACACACGTGCACACACAATTTACACACACATCATGTATGAACCCTTCCCACTATGTAAAGGTAGCATGCCATTTTTTGATTATCGATTGACATAATGCAGAGGACAGCAAATGAAAAATGTGAAAAATTGTATCAAAACCCATGCATGAGTTCAGGAAGCACATTTTCTGTTCAGATTGAAAAATGGATCAAACAAACCACTCCCCTACCCTTAGTTTGCTAAACTCAGGTTTCCATAAGTTGAAGTGAACTCATATTATTACTGTGTAGTACAGGCCCGTAGCCAGGATTTCGATTTGCGGGGGGGGGGGGGCTGAGTCTGAGTGAAAGAGGGTCTACCCTAGCAAACCTTTTGTATCGTTACCCCAATACCCCCATGCATATGGGATATATTGAGTATGGTGATCAGATCATGATATGAATAACCATAACAGTTTAAATAATGCACCATTAAGGCCTTTTCGCGAACCACCATGAGAATTTCGGGGGGGGGGCTGAAGCCCCTCAAGCCCCCCCCCCCCGGCTACATGCCTGGTGTAGTATGAAAAGTCTTGTAATAGATAGCACGAACAAACAACTACAGTACAGTCTGGCTTATCCAACCTTCGCTCATCCAACATTCTGTATAACCCAACACAGTTTGCCTCCCACCCAGTCCACAGCTGTTTCAATACATTGTGATGTTTTGGTGCTAAATTCATAAATACAGTAATTACTTCATAACGTTACTGTGCATTTAACTGCTTTTTCTGTTGATTTGTTGTAAAACATGTTATTTTGGTGTTTAATTTGTAAAATCATAATGTAATTTGACATTTAATAAGCTTTTCCTTAATCCCTCCTTATTAGCCAACATTTTCACTTATCCAACATTCTGCTGCCCCATTTATGTTGGATAAGCGAGACTCTACTGTAAAAAGTCAGTGACTCTGGAAAACCTCTGATAAGGTTATGTAACTAGGAATATTGGAGACAGTTGCTGTTTATATTTTAATATGAACTGAAAGCCTGCTTAGTGAGCTCATGTATAGATATTGAGACACAAATGCAGTTGTGTTCATTTCTTCATTAGCTATATTTTGAATTATACCAAGTCCTAGTCAAAAATGTATAGGCTAAGGGAAAACAAAACTTTGTGCACACCGGGAGAGATGAATGGCAAGGTAGTTGTATTAAGAGAACAAAAATGTGGATATTAAATGAAATCAGTAGAAAAATCTATATTAGGTTAAATGCATGGATATCTGAATTAGAAGAAAGTCATACAAGAATTTACAAACTGATATGAAAGCAGGTGAAACAAGTGTATAGACAGTGAAATAGTGTCCTCCATCTCTGCTTCTAACAAGATGATAATGGAACTTTTCTTTTTATGTGGCTGCCACTCTTTAGCTAGATCACCTGTTCCCTTGCCAGGCATTTTATTAAAATGATGAATGTGCAAATATGTGCAAGAACAGTAAAGCAGGCTGCATAATTCTGATTTGTCCTTGTGTTATTACTGGGTCAATAAATACATTAGGTAAAATAGTATATAAGCATATTATATAGACGAAAAGATGTCTACCATTTCTCAAGACAAAAAACCAAAACACCCCTCAACTCTTATTTTTAGGCAGTTGGATCTAGTATGTTCCAAGGGCACATAGTAGCAATCTTAGAGAAATTTAGCCTTCCTATTACATAGCATTGGGGAAAGATCTGTTATCAAACATTATGAGGTAAATCCTTGATTATATCCTGATTTCTGATTACTGCCACCACAAACTTTGTAAGAATATATTATATCTGATGTTATTTAAATATACTTAAAACCTTGAGACTAAGAACTGAATTTTATTAACAATTCCAACTCAAAGCAAACTCACAAAACTGGTGAAACTGTTATGAGACAACTAGAAAACACAAAATACTTCATGCCAGATTCCAAAGCTTTACGTTTTTTAAAAAATCACAATGATATTACAGGAAGGAAAGTGATGATATTACAGTCACAGGCCTACCTTTTGTTCTCTGCCCCCTTCAACATTGTCATATAATCTAGGTTATCAAAGCAGTTAATCCACATTATCTGCCTTAAACTGTATTATATGACTCTACACTGCCATATAATCCAGTTCAAAGCAGATAATCTGGATTTCATAGGGCAGTGTAGAAGGGGCCTCAGGTAAAAGCGAATTAATGCCTCTAAAGATTTGGAGGCAAAAAATAATTAAACACGTCTAAAGATCCAGACCTTAAACTAAGGTCCAAGTCTTTAAAGATGAGGGCCCTGTTTGGACTGACTTCTGTGGGAAAATGGTGTGTCTGGAGATGGGGGAGACATCAGGAGGACTGTAAAGAGTTGGCCTGCGGTGCCAAGAGGCCTCTCCAGTAACTTTGGTGGCCGAAATGGGATGCTGGATGGCATCCCAGGTCAACCTTTGGTTGATCTGAGATGCCATCTAGCCACCACTCTCAGGAAAGCAGTGAGGAGTATAACCCTCTCAGGTTTCAGTTGGCAGTGAGGAGTACAACCCTAGAGGAAGCTGCTTGTTTTAACCTGCTTCCTCCCAGGTTTTAGTATAGTTTAGAAGGGCCCTCAGATGTTTATTCACTTGTCAGTTAAAACTGTCTAGAGAGAAAAACAGGATTTTTCTATCTGTCAATTTATCATTCTAAACCTTTTTCATTCACCACCCTCTGTTTTTCTTATGATTTTCCTAAAGAAAAAACATAAAGCCCACCAACAGATGCATTTATTGTGTATCATCTTACATTACAAATATTTACTTTTAGCATTATGGCAAATCAATTGTCATCATTAATTGTTGATTTATTGTTATTATTTTGTCTTGATTGACAAAATTTCAACAATGATTCTCTCCATGTATCTCTCTTTTTAAAGGAAAGCGCATGAATTCATAGTTCTTGTTTTTCTTATTAGCAGATTTATTTATTTCGTGTCTGAAGCATTGCATACAAAAGTATACAACTGATAAAAACAGAAGGAGCACAAGTGGCTAAATAATTTTTGACCAAAACCGGACAACAGTAACTGCATTGTCTGTAGCTTTAAACAATTCTTCCTCTGTACATGGGGCAGATTGTGGGCAAGCATACAGGTACGGAGTTGTTTGTTCTGCTCCACAGTCACACAAGGTGGGGGATTCTTTTAGGTAGTTCCATTTTGTCAGGATGTCTTTTACAGAATCATAGAATTGGAAGAAACCTTGAGGGCCATCCAGTCCAACCCCCTGCCCAGAAAGAGTGGGCTGATCTTTTGATTTGCCCACTCCACTTCTGAATCTGTTCAGGGACTTCAGATTTGTTTCTGTCAGCCTCTTCCTCACCTTGCAAAGATATTTTTAGATTATGGTAGAGCCATTCCTGTGGATATAGATCCAGATTTATACAGCTACACAGAGGGGCCATTCGCACTACACAACTACAGTGCTATGGTTCCACTTTTTAACTGCCATTGCAACTTTCATTGGAATCTTGGAGTTTGCAGTTTAGGAAGGTTGACTTAAAATGTTCTGCCAGAGAACTCCAAGCTAGTAGTTTCACCAAACTAATAGGGCCAAGATTCCTTAGGATTTAGTGACAGCAGATAAAGTGGGATCGTACTACTACTCCTGTGTGATGTGAGAGGCCTCATAATGGGTAGCATTGGACTCTAACAAACCACTATACCATCAGCTAGCTAGCTTTGGGAAGCCATTGTGCTATATTTATGTAGAATGAATGGGCTCCTTATCTGAGTGTCATGAATGTATTCATGATAAGAAAGAAAAGAGAAGGCTGAATCCTATGAAACTCTGCAAGGCTGATTCCATGTTGAGATGTAACAGCTGCCTATCACCCTTTCTGCAATCAGCCAAATAGAAGGAGTAAGGCAGCAGGCCAGCAGCAATATCAGTCATGCCAACAGTCTTGCAGCACTAGAATGAACATCTGGCCACATTGCATAGACTTTCGGCATAGTTCCTACTTCTGAAGAATATTTTTTATCTGTGACAACTGGTGTATGAAATTATAGCACAAAAGATTAAATATGGTTCCGTATCATTTTTCAGCAACTTCTATTCTACCTTGTGAACATGCTGGGACCTGTTATGTTGATATACATTCAATAGAATCAAGCAGAATGATTTTTTTTCTGGTGAGACTGCAGTTAGTAAACACATGTTCAATAACTAAAGAATCCTTAACAGAAAAAGAAGAAAAAAAGAAAGAAAAACATATATGTAGATACTAGAAATATTATCATGTCAGGTGCAAATATTAGTTGAATTATACTTTCTGATATCTTAGTCCTTTTCTACATATGCAAGGGGGTGTTCTCTTGGGTGGAGGAATATCAGACTAACTCTAAGCAAAAGCTTTCAGGCAGGGGATGTTTCCTGTTATGTGGCATAAATGTCATGGGCTGTGATGGCAAACCCGAGCCTTTGGGAAAACTATAGTGTCTGGCTTTACTTGGGCGCTATATGTATACCTTCTGTTAAGGTATTAGTTGGTCTATTCCATTTGCCTGTATAGAGCTCTTTTGCTGGACTCCTCCTTTTTTCTGCAGCATAACTACAGTGAACAGAGGCTTGGGCATTGTATGGTAATTCTAGGCCCAAGCAATCCAA